GGTGTGCGCGGGCGTGAGTGGTGTGCGCACAAGATGGTGCATGTGTGCGTGTGTATGCATGTGTGAGCCTGTGCTTGTGTGCAGATGTGCGAACACAGCTGTGTATGCACATGTGTTTATGAGTGCGCGCTTGCTCATGAGTGAGTGTGAATATGTACATGCGTGCATGTGAGAGTTTGTATGTGTGTGTATATATATATATGCACACGAGAAGGTGTGCAAGTGTGGTGTGTGTGAACGCATACCCACAGGAGCTGTCTCGGATTCAGCACCAGGGACGTGGTTGCTCAACATCTTGCTGTAGAACTTTGCCCACCCAAGTTCCCTAGAACGCGCCCCTCACTGGTCCACACGGCTTGCGCTGGGCGACTGAGACCCTGGAGACCAGGGTTTGAGTGTGGAGCTGCCTCAAAACTGGCCGGCGTCCTGGGACAATTCGTGGGCGCTTTCTAAGCCTCAGCTTCCTCCTCTGGTACAAGGGCGGAAGGAGCTGCGTCACTGTGTCTCTGTGAGGACCGAGTACCTGTCCGTGCCAGGACGGGCCAGTGGGGCCCAGTGGAGCTGCCCGTCCCCTTCCGCCCTGCTCCTGTCCTGCTCACCGTGGCAGCCAGGTGGCTGCCACAGCCGGCAGCAGCCCGAGCGAAGGGACCTTCTCAGGGACAGCGCCTCCGGCTCCGTCCCAGTCCTGTGTTGGGCCTCCGACCTCAGGCAGGGTGGTGAGTGGCAGGATCAGAGCATGGCGGCACTGTCCACAGCCGGGACGGTCCTGCAGTGGTGTCCTCATGGGCTGCTTCTGTTCCCGGTTGCGGGCCCAGGAGAGCAGCCCTTGCTGAAGTACAGTCATCGCAGCATCTGCAGGGGACCTCCTCGAGCCCAGGACACCCTGTGTGCTCCAGCCCCTCATGGAACACAGCACACAGTCCTCCCCATACTTTAAATAATTTCTGGGTTGTTCATGATACCCCATAAGAGGTAAACGCTGTGTACATAGTTGTTATGCTGTATTGTTGTTATGGTTTGTGTCTGGGGTCCCCCCAAAGCCTCACGCAGTCATGGGGCGGGCTTCTAGATTTTTGACTGATCTATAGTGCAGTGCTGGGATTTTGGATGTGGGTGCTACACCTGCCCCTGGGGCGGGTGATTTGCGTACAGTGTAAGGGAGGGAAAGAGGCTCCTTGCCGCTGCCCTTTCCCCCTTGTGCTCTTGTTGCTTTGCTGTTTCACCCCACGAACTGTTGCCCTCTGCCACATGCCACTCTGCCTTGGAGCCACCCAAGTATGGACTGAAACCTCCACAGACTGTGAGCTAAATAAACCTTTCCTTCCTTAATTCTGGGTGTCAGGTATTTTGTCTCAGCAACGAGAGAAAAGTAACTGAGACAATTGTTTAGGGAATGGCAAGAAAAAAGTCTACATATGAGATGTGAATGAACAATACAGTGGATGTGTGAATTTGCAAAATCTATTACAGTAAAAGACACATTGCCATTAATCCCCCTCCAAATACCCTCCTCATGTCAAAGACACCTACCCCATCAGTCCTGGCACTTTCTGTGGCTAGAAATCCTCTTTTGTGAGTGTCTTTAGTTATGCTGTTTTGGCTACCTCCAGGACCAAATTGATTTAAAGTATTCACCTCTCATGGCCATTCTGACCTTGGGGAGGGGTCAGAGACGCACAGGGCTGGGTCTGTTGAGTAGGGTAGAGGAGAACACTCTGCAGTGTTTTATAAGCCGCCCTCCTGGCACCGGGGAGCAGCATTCACTGTGCTTTTGGTTCTCCCTCACAAAGACACTCACAGAAGAGGACGTCCAGAACGGCTGCAGGAAGTGGCAGGAGCGGTGCGATAAGTGTGCATGGAGTGAGGGTTAAACGTCCACTGTATATTTTCATCACACTTTATATTCAGTACAGATGCAATTTTTGGCTTTGTTTTTTTTAGACAGGGCCTTGCTCTATAGTACAGGCTGATCTTGAACTTGCCGTGCAGCGCAGGCTGGCCTCAGACTTAAGCCTCCTGCCTGAGTCTCCCAGAGTGCTGGGGTCGCAGGCGTGTGCCACCACCCCAGCGTTCCGCAGGTGGCGACCCCACAGGCGGGACTCCGAGGAGAGGGAGGGCTGATGACGGACTGACGCGCCAGTCCTGCCTCCCGTACCCAGGCTGGCCCGCAACGCTGCTCACTCACCTTCCTGGGAGTTTCTCAGCGACCTCACGCCCCTCTCACCGACCCTGGGTGCCCCTGCACCGTGGACAGGAAGTGAGGCCCCGATCCCGCAGCCTCCTCACTGCCCCTCGCTCTGGTCTCCAAGGGGCCAGGGTAACCTGGAGGCAGCAGGTGGCGTTGGCGTGGGGGCCTGGGAGGCTCACGCGTTGAAGCCCGGTGGCTTAGGTGACAGACGAGTGTTTTCTCAGGGCTCTGGAGGCCAGAAGCCTGGCTCCAGGCGTTGACGGGGTTGGCTTCTTCTGAAGCAGACGACATTCACCTTCTTGTTGCATCTGCACAGGACTTTCCCCACGTGAGCTGCCCCGTCTCCCCTTCCGAGGACGCCAGCCTTTGGGCTGAGGGCCGCCCTCCGGACCCAACTTTCCCTTACGGTCTCTGTGAAGGTGTCCTCTCCAAATAGAGTGACGTCCTGAGACGGTGAGCTGGGGCTTCAGTGCACAGATGTACCCCCGGTCGGTGCCCGCCGTCCAGGGCACGGAAACCCAGCCGCTCACCGTGCATGGAGCCAGCAGCGGCCGTGAGGGGACGTTGGCCCGGCCTGTCCCGCGCCGGGCTGGGAGGAGGCCAGCGGGGAGTGGGGAAGCCTGGCAGCGTGGCAGCCCCAGAAGGCGGCTCTGGCGGGAAGTGACGGCGCCTTTGAACGATGACGAAGAGAACACGCAGTGAGGACCACTGGAGATCTCGTTTCGTTTTCAGACGAACCTTTCAAAGCACGCTCGTGTATTTGGAGACGGAGCAGAGACCCCGCAGGAAATATGTCGGCTGAAGTGGTTGGGAAGGGAGTCGCTCAGCGTGCGGTGGGAGTCCCTGATTAAACCCTCATTCATCTGAGGAAAGTGAAGGCTGCTCCTGCAAGCGCCCGCCGGGCCACTTGTGCTCCCATCTTGTCTGTGGCGGGGCGGCCTCGCCGGGCTCCAAGGAGGAGTCTGGAGCTCTGTGGGTTTGGGAGGAGGTGTTAATCTGACTAACTGATCGACACTGAGCTCTACCCATCTAAATTGTACAACTGACCCATTTCGACACGTGCAGGCAGAGCCTTCCTGCAGTCACGGTAGCGAACACACCCATCGCCCTCAGGGTGCTCTTCTGGTGCGCTGGAATTCTCTTCCTCTCACTCCTGCCCACCTGCCACTCATTCTGCCACGGATTTCTGTTACTCTATTTGGTTTTCATCTCTCGGGACTTCCTACATGGATGGAGCCACACACACTTTTTAAGAATGCTGGTTTGTTTCACTCAGCACAGTTATTGAGAGGTTCTTTGATATTTTTCACATTATTTATGCAAATATCTAATTCTGTGCAATAGTTCATGACGAGCATCATGTCATCGTGTGAATGTATTTGCTTATCTGTGCATGCGTGGATGGAAATTTGGAGCGCTTCCAATGTCAGTTACAAATAAAGATGCTATGGACTTTTGTGCGCCGGTGGTCTTCGTATGGATATGTGCTTTCATTTCTCTTGCGTATAAATACCCAGGAGCAAAATCTCACAGCTACATGATTAACTTTAAAGTAACTGTTCAGTTGCTGTTCAAAGTCATTGTATCATGTTTATATTCCAGTGGTTCGTATAATACACCTTTCCCCCCCTGCTTTGAGGTTCTCTTTTACCCTTAGTTTTAAGCGTTCAGATTATGGCATGTCCTGCTGTCATTTTCTTATTGCTTATTGTGTTTGGGTTTCTTATTGCCTATTGAGATTATTGGATGTAAGGGTTTATCATTTTTATCAGTTTGGAAACTTTTTCTTTTGATGTCAGTACTGGGAACTGAACTACACCCCTGACCCTATTTTATTTTATTCTCTTTTATGACAGCATCTTGCTAAATTGCCCAGGCTGGCTTTGACCTTGTGATCCTCCTGCCTCAGCTTCCCAAGTAGTTGGGTTATACACATGAGCCACCATACCCTACTGGAAACATTTTTGACCATTATTTTTTAAAATAGTTTTCCTATTCTACTCTCTTTTCCTCCGGAAAGTGGGATCTCAAGTAGTTAGGCCACTTGAGGTCCCACAATTCACCGAGTCTCTTCTCATTTTGAAGAATTCTTTCTGTGTGTATTTGGTTACTTTCTGTTGCTATCTTCGAATTCACTAACCTTTCCTGCTTCAGTTAATCTGCCGTTAGTTCACCCTTCCATATTTTTCCATCTCAGACATGGTGTTTTTGTCTCTAGAATTTCAAGTTAGGTCCATATCTCTCCTCATCTGTTTCAGCGTAGACAGCCCAGATATAATTACTTTCAGGTTTTACGTCAGGCTAATTCTAATGTCATTGGCAGTTTGGATCTTCAGTTGATTTTTCTGCTTATTATGGGGCCTAATTTCCTATTGGTAATTTCTGTTGGGTGATGGATTCTTTTACTTCTGTAAATGTTCGTGAGCTTGGTTATGTCATGGTGAAGTTGCTTAGAAATGCACTTAGTTGTACGTTGCTCTGCATGGGGGACTCATTCTGAGAATAAGTGGTTAGGCAGCTGCGTCACTGCAGGAATGTCATAAAGAGCAGCTACACAAACCTTCAGATCAGAATCCTGCAGACTCGTGATGATGCAGCCAGCACATTATGAGAGTACACACAGTGCAATAAAAACACAGTGAGTGTTAAAGATTTTTATTAAAAGTTTTTCGGGAGCAGTTCTGAGAGTCCTCTTATACAAGTGTCTTTAGTCGCACTGTTGTGGCTACCTTGGCGTCCTGACTTCATTCAGATGTTTACCTTCCGTGGTCATTTTGACTTTGGGGAGGAGGCAGATGTCACTCAGTGCCAGATGCGGAAGCTGGGTGAGGACTCCCTGTGACGTGTTGATGAGCCTGCCTTTCCGTTGCATGCACTCGGCAACAACATTCACTGTGTTTTTGATCATACCTTGTGAAGACAAAAGAGGACTTCCAGAACTACTGCAGAAAGTGGCAGGAATGGCAAGTGTGTTTGAAACGAGGATGGGATACTTTGAGGGAGATTAATGACAGTTTACTATCGTAAATTTTTAAAAACTGAAACACATACTGTACATTTGGATCCCCTTTTTAATGAAACTCCAGCTGGTATAACATGGTAAACTCCTACTTTATGGTGAATTCTTTTTACTGTAGGAGTGTACTCATCTAATGCTGGTGGGAATGTAAAGTGGTTCAGCCAATGTGGATCAAATTTTGGCCCTCAGAAAATTAAATAAATAATCATCTGACTAGCAATTCCACTCCTAGGCATATACCCTAAAGACTTGGAAACAGGCCCACAAGTAAATGCGTGGTCCTGTTCATAGCAGCAGTGTTTACAGTACCACAGGTGGAAAGGAGCCTCGAAGTTACCCTAGACAGCAGCAGACGGTGGTACCTGCGCAGTGCGGTGCTGCTCGTCCACCAAAAGGGGTAGAGCGCTCCGACACCTGCCTTACACCAAGCGAACGCCACCAGACAGGAGAGATCACAGTTCGTGCAGTTCTGTTTATGGGGCAAATCCAGAGCAGGCAACAGGCTGGTGTTTACCAGGGGCTGAGGGGGTGAGAGTGGCTACAGGGTTTCCTTTTGGATGCTTGATGTTTTGGGACTGGGCAGAGGGAGCTAGACATTGCGGGGATTGCACACCACTGTGAATCTACTTAGTGGTATTGGATTATTCTTTTTAAAATGTTTAATTTTATGTTATGTAAATTTCACCTCAGTAAACAGGAAGAAAAAGTGACCTGTTCTAAAAGATAACAAAGCTCCGTCTTAGTTGGTGGTGAAGTGACTGAGTCTGCTGCCTTTTCTTTCTAGACTGAGCTATAAATGTTTAATCAGCTTCCTCAGTCTGTGCCTGTCTTGTCCTCTTGCTACTCCCCGACTCCTTCGAGGGTACGGTACTGTCCCCTTCCTCTCCTCCAACCTGACAGTTTCTCAGGCTCTCTGTTTTTCATGACTACAGTTTTGAGACATGGTGGCTGGGTACTTTGTAGCATGCCGCTCTGTGGGGTGGTCTGATGTTCTTATGATTAGACTGGGTTATGAGTGATCAGGAAGAATACCACGAAGGAGGCACTGCCGTTTTCATGGCATCGTAGTGGGGGCCCATGGTGTCACATGATATAAGTACCTGGTGCCTGTATCAGTTGGTTAAAGCCATATGTTCGCCACTTTCCATGACTGTAACAAAATAACTAAAGATAATCAGTGTAAGAGGAGGAAAGGTTTATGGTGACTTGGTTTTGAAGGTTCAGTCCATAGTCATTTGCCCCATTTTTTGGCCTGGGGCAAGGCAGCACGTTACAGCACAAATACGTGGCAGAGGAAGCTGCTCAGCTCATCACAGCATGGCAGAGGGTCCCACAGCCTGCTCAGGGGCCTGCCCCCAACCACCTAAGTCCTGCCATGAGTCTCCCCTCCCAGAAGTTCCACCACGTCCCAGTAATGCCAACACAGGGACAGGGTCTTCTGGGGATGTTACAAAGCCACACCTTAGCAGTAGTGTCGGGCAGATTTCTCTGTATAGAGTTACTATTTTATATCACCACACGAAGAGCAAGAACAGTGACATTAGGTGTTTTCAAAGACAGGAACCACATACACACAACTTACTACATTAAATTGTATCATTATAATTGTTCTACTTCATTAGTTATTTTTGTTAATCTCTTTCTGTGCTTTATTTATAAATTAAACTTTATCATAGGTATGTATGTATGTATGTATAGGAGAAAGAGTCTGCATAGGGGTTAGTAGTCTGTGCAGTTTCACTGGGCTCTTGGAATGTATGCCCCACATGAACTGGGGGACTGATGGGTGGTTTTGATACAGTCGGATCCACGGTGTAGTCTTCCTTCTGTGTTAGGATTCTCTGGCAGCCTGCTTGACTCTTGCATTTTCATTGGAATCCACTAGTGTTGCACTCTCCCATGTGCAGTCCTACAGGTTTGACAGTATGTACGCGGTGTCCCCCAGCCAGTGTGCACCTAACAGGTCCCCTGTCATCCCGAGACCTCCCCGTGCAGCCCCTCAACTGCAGTCCTCACACTCTCCCGGCCTTTCACCATCACTGACCTGATTTCTGTGCAGTTTTGAATCACCTGGCTTTTGACAGCAACTTCTGAATGCTTTGTTGTAAATGTGAACATTTCTTGTAAGCAGAGGTCGTCTTGCTTTGTAATTGGAGTCAGTTGATACCAGGACTTGAATTCCAGCTCTGACACTTCCCTAAGCCTCAACTTTGCAACCTGTGAGTGGGAATAATAGCAGATCCTACCTGGGGGTCTTGGGAGGACTAGATGAGATTACAGCTGCTGGCACCGTGCCTGCCGCATCCAGGATCAACAGGCCTGCTAACAGCGCTTCAGTTATGTTCCTCGTCATTGCCATCATCGTCGTTGTGGTGGGAAGAAAAAAAGAAAAATACTTAAGGAGGCCCGGAAACGCTGTCTGCTTGGGTCACTGGTGTTGGTGGAAGTGTATGTCTGGCCCCCTTCTGTGGCTGGAAGGAGGCAGGGGACGTGGGGTTTGATCTGGGGTGGCTTTTCCTCTGGCGTCTGCGGAGTATGTGCTTTTCAGCACAGATCCTGGGATTGACTGCCCAGGAGACAAATCACTGTCTTCAGTCTCAAATTGCCCTGGTGGAGAGATTTCAGGGTTTCATCTTTGCTCTTCTACTTCCAAATAGAAAGTCTAAGGATTTTTTTGTTTGTTGTTGACAGTACTACAAAACACAGAAAGAGCGTTTTAAGAGCATCACCCTAATCTCAGTACCCGCTGGGTTTTGTTTTGGAAGTCCCTTCCATCCCTGATCTTTAAGGAGACGTCGTCGTTTGATTTACTGCATCGTAAACGCTGTTCTTGTCGCGCCTGGTCTTTGTCCAGCTGTTTCACGATGTGACGGCTCCTCCCGGCACCCCCACCCTTCATTACAATGAGCCAGGCTGTTCGCAGCGAGCAGCTTCTTGACTGTCACTTTCTGCTTCTGTCAATGTGTTCCTTGGAGTATAGGTCCCGGAGTAAGAGTTTCAGCCAAAAGACGAAGTGTTCACTTACGGCCGATTGACATCGTTTTGCGGAATTTGTTTCGTGTGTTTTTTGAGGGGGGCAGGTCTCGCTGTGTCACACAGGCTGCCTTGCCCTGGGTCCAAGCAGTCCGCTTGCCTCAGTCCCCCCAACCCCTCCACAGCTGGGCGCCTTCACCTTCCTCTTCCTCTCCTTTCTCCTGTCCTTCCTCCTCTTCTCCCCCTTCTCTCCTTCTCCCTTTCCTCCTCTTCCTCCTCCTTGCCCTCCTCCTCTTCTTCCTCTTATTCAGCTGAGAGCACGTGAGGATGTAATCACACACCTCACAAAGTGTCTGAGCTCGCGCTCCAGGGGCGCCCTGCTAAGTGCACCGCCGGATCACGCTTTGCAAACCATGTCCCCCAGTGCTGGTCCCTCCCTGAGTCCAGCTCTACTCCCGGGGTTTCTGGGTGGCAGCGTCCCCAAAGGCTCTGGTCTTTTGGCAGAAAGTCATCCTTTATTTACTTTGGAGGAGGACTTGTTTGCCTGTGCAGAACCAGGACCGTATTGTTTGCAGATGCTAGGGGTATTGCCAGATAACTGAATGTCAGAAGTTAAGGCTTTTAAATCATCTTTACAAACACGGACACAGAAGAATATGTTCTTAGAATTAAAAACAAAAAGCATGAAGTAAAGATTGTGGGGCTGGGTTTCTCATTCTGACACTTCTCTTGGAGTTAGTTCACGGCGGTAACTTGTCAGACCCACAGAAAGGACAGCTTGGAGGTAGGAGAGGAGCAGCCGGGGAGGGAGGGGTTTTTCCAGATTCGTCGCTGATCCAGAAGAGTGAATGTGCAAATGGAGTTAAAGTAGTTGAGAAAAACAGTCCCAGTGATTTCCGACCCCACCTAGTAGCCTTAACCTTAATCTTCTCTTGCCCAGGGCTCCCGTAGACCTGCAAAGACAAGAGTAGCTTTAAAGTCATTGTGTTTCCTATCAGTCTTCAGACTGGTAAGACCCCTACCCTTCAGAAGGGAGGCCCAGGCGTGATAATAGTTGTTAAAAGCTGATTGTTCTTAGCATTAACTGCTTTTGTTTTTAAAAAAGGATATCCACAAGGCAGTCCTTTCATTCTGCCTAGGGATGATAAAGACAGACAGAGCTTCTTGCCTGTCGCTGGCCTGAACTGGAGGGCTGGGTTCCTTTGCTTTCTAAGAGCACTTTGCGGTCTGCCAGGGTGTCTGCAAATACAGTGGGAGGAGAGTGGGCTGGGGGAGGGTTCTGCTGTAGCGGTGGGGACCTCACCGGCCCAGGGAGCCCCTGGCAGCTTCAGGGGCCGCTGGAGGGTGAGGTGGAAAGGGCCCCCAAGCGTCTCACAGGCACAGTCGAAAGCTAGGGATGGAGCCGAAGTGGCTGACTGAGGTTCTAGATGGGAGCTTGGAGCCTGGGGTCTAAAGGTCTCTCCAGGTTCTACTTCGGGGCTAACTGGGGCCTCAGGGGCCAGGGCGGTGGGCTGAGGGTGAGGTTAACCAGGGCCACCAAGCTCTCTGTATAGCGAAGTGTCAGTAACCAGCCTGTTCACCCCTGTTTTCTCTTACTGCCTGTTGCGGGAGGCTAGGAGAACCCGGGTTAGGTTTTTAGCTTCAGGTTCCTAATCTCAGGCTGTTCCAACCAGAGGGGGTTTGGCTGGGGTCCAGTCCTGTGCCAGAATTCAGGCTTCGTGGTGCTGAAGAGAAAATGACTCAGTGATCCTTGTCAAAGCGCTGTGAGAGAGACTATGCTCAGGACCATCGCCATGGCTTGGGTTTTGCAGTATGGGGAGAGAGTGGGCTTAATTCTAAACCCAGCGTGAGCCAGGGAGCATGCGTAGCCCAGGAGCACGGTGGGCTCAGCGGCTGGGACATGACTAAGATGCCGTCAGGAGCCAGCACTCTGGATAAGCAGCGGCCAGGGCTCTCGCTGATACAGGCCGGTTGATCAGATGCCGCCGGGGCGTGGTGGGTGAGGAGGAGAAAGCTGATAATGCATGGAGGGAAACCGGAGATCAGGGCTGATAGATTCTGGCTGCGCTGGCTCAGCAGGGTCCTTGGCCTACCCGGGTCTTACAAGGAAACGCCCAGGTGGGCCTAGGAAAAGGCTCAGAAGTCTGAGTACAGTTTGGTAAAGCAGAGAATCATTGCCAGTGGTCAAGGGCTCAAGACCAGACCGCTTTCCCTTCCTCTGAAGCGGTACTTGAAAACTACTTCCTGGGGCTTGGGGGTGGGGTGCACCTCAGCAGCACAGTGCTTAGCATGAGCAAGACTGTGCTTTCAGTCTCCAGCATGCAAAAATGAACATGTGTGATGCTTGTCAGGACTCACGTCCTGGGATAATGCGCCAATCACTTTACCCCTTGAAACCTGGATTTGGGGATTTGAGGTTAATTTCTTCCTTTTTCCAAGCTTGTATTCCTTCCTTGAGGAACTGGGGCTCCAGAAGTCACCCCGGGGCTGGGGATGTAGTTCAGTGTGCAGTGTACGGCATGTACATAGCATGTAGAAGGCCCTGGGTTCAGACCTCAGCACTGCAGAGGAAGTCGCCTTGAGGGTCAGACCAGGCCGTGGGCTTTCTGAAGCTGTCCTGTGAGTCCCACCGTGGTGGAGCCATGATCTTTGACTGTATTTCTGCAGTAATTCTTTTCCTGTTACCCATGTTCTAGTATGGGGCTGGGCACGTGTAGGCTCTTGTTAAATTGTACTGCACTGAATTGTCTCACACACACACACACACACACACACACACACCCCTACACACCCCTGTACCCTGCACCCTCCGAAGAGCAAAGGAAGCTGTCGTCATGGGGTAGATGAGGCCAGGGCCTTCACATCCTGGGCTGTGGGTGGGGCCCGCAGCTGTCGGGGCAGTGGGGCCTCCTGGGTGAAGATGGGGAGATCGTGGGACGCAGACAGCGGTCACCGGCCAGCCTTCCACCTGGATCTACCCTGCTCAGCCTGGGCCTGCCCTCGAAGACACAGTGGGTGGCCGTGGCGGCTCCCGTCGTTTACAGGATGCTGTTCTGCTGTGACCAGGGTTGGGGCTGCATTTGAACACGCTCTCACAAAGCGGGACCTGGTGCCTTCTCCACAAGGGTTCCTCGCTGGTTGATCAGTGTCAGCTTTGGCTCTTCCCCTGATCATAAAATCGCCCATAGAGTTAAATGACTTTTTTGGGAAACGTTCTGGAAAATAGCACCGAAGTGTGGCTCAGTCAGATGCTTTGTTTTTGCTGATGTTTCCACTTGTACCCTTCTGCTGTGAAACTCACCCACATTTTCTTTTTCCTTCCCTCTTGGTTCAGAAGCTGGATGGACTCGCCAAGCTCCGAACTGTTCGAGAAGCTCCGTCGGAGTGCGTCTGTCCCCCAGGTAGGTGAAGCTGGCCCTGTTGGCTTCCAATCTCTGAACCAGCTCCTTCTCTCTGCCGGCAGTCAGGACTGCTCGGGACGCCCCAGGGACGAGGTCGTCTGGGGTCCTGTGTGGTGTACCCCCGCGCCGTCCTGCGACTCTGCGCCTTCCCCGGCAGCCTCACTCGTTAAAGATTCCAGCAAGATGAGCTGACTTGCTTGACTGGTGGCCTCGGTGGAGGAGCTGAGGAGGGTTAGACATGACTTGGAATAAAGGCTCAATGGCAGGAAAGTAGCAACCATCTGTCCCTCTTACTGAAAGCTGGAGAAACATAAATGACTGGTGGGATTCAGCATCCGCAGGAGACATTGCATGTAGCACGATCGGGTCCCTGGGAGGAAGTAATCTGGCGAATGCAGGCCTTTGCTGCTTGCACTGTTGTTGTTGTTTTGGTAGAGGCCTGGGAGGGAATAGGAAGCTCTGTCTGGATTATTCAAATTGTCACACCTCTCTTGGTTTGCTAGTGTAGACCAGGAAGGACATGAATAAAATGAGGATTTTGCTGATACCAGGTCCATGTGCTTAAATCCAGATTGCTATCAGGTCTTCTGGCTGTGCTGGGGGAGCTTTGCACGGGTCAGGATGGGGAACTTCCGTGTGTAATCTCCAACCCCATGTCTGCAGGGTTATCGTGACCCTTGCCTAGGATGGATGGTGCGCAATGCCGGTGGGAGAGAGGCTTCCTGCGTGCAGGAGAAGGTGCTTTCTATCCCTGGTTCGCAGAGTACAGAAGCTGAGCAGTGTCCTGGGTCCTCACTGTCGGGCCTGCTAACCACGCTGCTGGCGCTTCCCAGCCTGCTCAGCTGGCCCGGAAACCCGACTCGTTGGTGCCCGACCAGCGTCTCCAGGTGTAGGCCTCCTTTGCAGGTGGGAGATCCTCCTTCCCTCCTTCCCACGGTGGGAGAGGGCTTTGTGGCTACGTGAGCACGAGCCTTTAGAAGCCTCTGAGATTTTAATAGGAGGAAAAAGGACATACAACTAGCACTGTGAAACTGTGAACTATCGAGTAGAATGAAAAAGCTGGAGTGGAATTTTGGTTCCGACTCTTTCTTTTCGTAGGAGTGATCGGGTTGACCATGTGAAACGGATTTCTTCCTGCAGTTGGCTAACAGAAGGTTCCAAAGTCCCGAGCACAGATGACAGGTGGGAGGAGGGAGAGGAGGCATGAGGCGGCGTGGTGGGACTGGGCCGATCCGGGGCCTGACATTTCCTATCGGTGGGGGCTTCTATCAGTGACGATGGCAATACTGGAAGGGGTGCTGCGGGCATTTTCTAGGTCATTTTGTGCCTATGACCTGGACAGCTTTGTGTCCTGCTTTCCTTCTTAGAGTTGGGGGTCAGTGGGAGTTCTGGACCATGGGAGGGGCTGCAAGGGCCCCTGGGGGACCGTGGGTTGGCGGACTGGACAGAAGTGGGAAGTACACCCGTGAGCCCAAGCGAAGCCTAGTTTTCCTAGATTAGGTTTAGTGGTAAATACAAGAAATCCATCTTCCTCGACAGCCAGATTCCCACCTGAGCTGGCGGCTGAAATAGTTCACCACTGAGTGTCCTATGACGCGGGAGGGAGGCTGTCCACGGGAGCCTGTCAGAAGGGGGCTGAGCTCGCTGGATTCTTTTTCTTCTCCATGGAAGGGCGTTTTTGAAGGCGGGCGCGCACCCTGCAGAGGGGTGGAAGTAGGGCGCAAGTGGATGACTTGGCAACTATCCTGAGTACAGCGGAAAGTGCGCTGCCCCCTCCCCGCAGAGTTCTGCCTTCTACCCCTCTTACTGCAGCCTTTTTTCTTTTTCAGTGGGAATTGTGGTTTCAAGAGTTGTGGCTTTTAGGATTTCAGTCTTTTTCAATCTTATCAGGGGTTTTGATCTTTAGAGATATTTAGACTTTCAGATTTTGCTCTGTGGGGAATTTAACACTGGAATCCTGGATTCCAGGACTGTCTTTTGGGATCATGATCAGCACCAGGGCAGAAACCTCATCCTGCTGACAGGCATTTGGGGCGGACTCCGGCCCTGTGGGGAGGCGCCGCTGGCAGTGGCAGAACTGTTGCTCTTGCCTCAGGAACTTCTGCCCAGGATGTCACTGTCTGGCAGGTGTAGTGGCCAGGAGTGCCTCACAGTGGTCTCAGCGAGTCCCCTGCCCGCCATGTTACCCTGGCTGTTTCTTTCCTGTCTTGTACATGCTGAGTTCTTAAGCTCTTGAGACTGGAGTCCTTTATCTGCATGAAACCCCTGTGGGCTGGCCTGCGCTCCCCTTGTGAGAAAAAGGCCAGGGCCTTATCTGCAGCACCAGAAGCCTGAACTTGCTCCCATTCTGCCCAGCTCTGATCAAAAAGCCCAGCAGACTCGGAGACTGGAGGAGGCGACCACCCTCTGTAGCTTGGTCCCCGTCTGATCTGAGATACCCGCAGAGCCCCCGGCTGCATTTCCTTCCCACGGTCGGGGGAGACAGTGTAATCTTTGTCAGATCCTAGCAGGCAGCGGGCAGAGAAGTGAAGCCAGAGAAGGGGCTGGCTCTTCTGTGTGTGCCGCCCTTTGTGAAATGGGCCGTGCAGGGAGCTCTGAGGCCGGCGGTGTAGCAGGCTTGGAGTGGGGAGATGGCCGGCCCCCTTGCCCTCTCCATGATGGGGCGACTGCAGGGCTGGGCCTCAGGAGAGTGAGGGACCCTGGGGCCTTGCAGCCTTAATCTAGAACAGTAATGGCGAACCTTTCAGAGCTTTCAGTGATGACAAACAGCCTGCTGTGGCATGCGTGCCATAGGTTCGCCACCACTCATCCAGAAGCTCGTGTATTGGGGTGAGTTGTGTTCTTCCAAAGACATGCCCCAGTCCCGGTCCCTAGTACTCTGAATGTGACCATGTGAAAATGAGGCCTTTATAGGTGCACAGGAGCCCCTATTATCCAGGGTACTTTCTAAGAACCTCAGCAAAGGCCCGAAGCTCTGGGCATTGTCTAATCTGATATACATCGTTTGTCCTGTATGTTCAGATCCACAGTAGAGCTTAACTTATGAGCTCGGCGCAGGAAGATGGGAAACTGTAACTAATAATAAGATGGAACAGGGGCTGGGGATTTAGCTCAGCGGCAAAAAGCGGCTGCCTGGCATGCGCAAGGTCGTGAGTTCAGTTCCCGGTACCGGAGAAAAACAAAAAAAAACCAAAAAAAAAAAAATAAGATGGAACAGGTACGGCAGTGTACTGTGGTAAGAGTTCTGGGAATGTGGCCTCTACACCACCTATTGTACCTCCACCCTTCACGCACAGGAAGCGCTCCGCGGCTGCTCTCTGGCCTGTCTGAATTGTCAGCGTTGCTGCTCTTGTGCTTTGGATCGGTGGAGTCTCTTGGACGTAAGACCTGTGATGCTGTGACAGGCGGTGTGATAAGAGGGCCTGGGAGTGGGCGGTTGGGATAGGAGGGCAGGAGCCTCAGCCTGTGTGGGAAGCAGGCAACCCGAGCCCAGAGCCAGCCCCGCGGACGGACGACGCCGGCCCGGCTGGGGCCTCCGCTGTGCTCCGCTCACTCCTGATGCGCGGGTGCTGCGCTCCGATGGAATCTTGGCTGCTCCACTCTGGAGCCCTGGGGACGCAGCTGCCCCTGTGTGAAGGGCTTGGGCTCATCATCCAGAGCCAGGAGCAGCAGCGCATCAGTTACCGTCCTACACGAATAACAGAGCACGAAGCTCATCGGACCGCGTAACTCGGGGTGGAGCAGTTCGGGGACTGCACCCCCTCGGCCCCGCTCTGCATCCTCCCCAGGCAGCTCTCCCTTGGGGTGACCTCTCCGTGGGGAAGGGGTCCCCATAGCACCAGGCCGGTCACACCTGCCTCCCACCCGGCAGAGCGGCTGTCTCTCTCCCCGCAGTCCCAGGACTGGCGGCGGGGCGTTGCGGGCCGAGCTGTGCCCCCTCCCCACCCAGCTGTTGCAGTCCCGACCCGCAGTGCCTTAGAGTGTGGCTGAATTTAGAGATGGCCACGGAAGTGACGGTGCCACTGGGTGACCGCGCAGGAAGAGAGCTGGGCACGGACGGGCACCCCGGGCAGAGGATGGCCATGCACTGATGAACCTGCGTCTGCCTTAGATTTGGGTTCTGCCCTGCAGAATGGTGAGAAAATAGTGCATTTCAGTTATGGGAGTCGCCCTGTGTGTGGCCCTTTTCTGTGGCCGCAGCCAGCACACCAACACAGGCAGCTGTGGCTCAGTGGCTTTGTGAAGGGCAGCCGTGCCGGGAACAGAGCAGAGCCTCATACGCACAGCCGAGCACTAACCTCAGGGCGCTGCCTTCCGGGGCGCGTGAACCGTGGCGCTCAGCCTTGCAGCTGTCCCAGCTCGGCAGCCCCTCCTGAGTGCGGGGTCACTGCCTGTACCCAGCACCACGGGACGATCGTGCCACACGGCACAGGCCTGGGGAGAGATCCGGGCTCCGACTTCAAAGAACATTTCTGACTAAATGTGTGATGCTTTCGCACCACTGTCAAGTTGAAAACTTAGAAGTCAAATCATCAGAACTTGTGGGTTTTAAAGTTAAAAGTACTATGCAAACAAAAAGCCCCAGAAGTGACCCTGATTTGCCTGGCATGCCGAGCCCTGAGTAGTGGACGGGCCGCAGGCTGGGACGTGTGATTGGCTGGGGTGGTCGGTGATCATCGGGGCAGCCAGAGGGGCAGCCGCTGGGGGACGGTCGGTGCCGCTAGCAACGTGGTGGGGGAAAGTGGCTGCCCCAAGAACACGAGCGGCTATTTTGCCATTCTGAGAAGAAAAACAGATACAGCTAGGAAACCGCAAACTATGGATGACCAGTTCAGCCCTGCTCCAGGGACAGCTGGCCAGGCTGTCCGCGCTAGCGACCCTAGACGGAGCCCGGATTGAACAAAGCAGGCGAGGTCTGTCTCTCCCTTTGCTGAATTTCTCCACAAGCCCGGGAGTCGGGGGTGTGGATCTGGACTCAGACTGCCCGGCACGAATTCCAT